AATCCGGGATGTGATCTTGGGGCGCATGCCCATTTTCTGGACCACAAATTACGACGAGGCTCTTTTGTGCACCTTGGCATGGTGAGTTGCACTGGCTCCGGCTGTGAGGCGGCTTCTTCAAGCAATAGAGAAAGAGAGAGAGAGAGAGAGAGAGAGAGAGTGAGTGAGTGAGTGAGTGAGTGAGTGAGTGAGTGAGTGAGTGAGTGCGAGAGAGAGAGAGAGAGAGAGTGCGCAAAGAGCACTGGTTTCACGGACTGTGCGAACCAAGCAGCGGGCCTTCCCGGTCGGGGTCCTCTCGGGGGCCTCTTCGCTGGGTAGAAGAAGAAGAAGCAGAAGAAGAAGAAGAAGCAGAAGAGAGCGAGAGAGAGGGATGAAGATGCTGGTGTTTCCAACCTTTTGAAGAATTGGCAGCACGAAAGCTGCTTTGGGAGTCTTTCCGGCGGTCAGGAGGGCTCTGAGTCGAGGTATGTTCATTTCTACTGCCACCTTCTTCGGCTTGCCGTATCTGGCCACGAGATTCGGCATCACCGCCGAAGGGGAGTTTGCGCCTTTGCTGGAAAGTGTGCTGATGTGCAGGTGCCCCTTACCGGTTCTCTTCGGTCTCTTGTTTCGGAAGGTGCCTCTGTAGGGTTTAGGGTTTAGGGTTTAGGGTGTAGGGTTTAGGGTTTAGGGTTTGGGGCGTCGGTCAACAGTGCTCTGAGGTCTTTTGGACTGACACCGTGGGCTTGGCGGCTTTTGCGGTGCTCGGAGCCCGTGTAGCCGCCTGCTTGCCCGACCACCATGTCCACGCAGGCAGGGAAAACAGCAACTTCGATGCCTCCAGACTCGGCAGAAACATAAAATGCCCTAAGCCCTAGACCCTGAACCCTAAACCCTAAACCCTGAACCCTAAACCCTAAACCCTAAACCCTAAACCCTAAACCCTAAACCCGAACCCTACAGCATAGAGGTCAAGTCACGAAAGCCCGAAGGACCCCTGACATCCTGTCGTGTTGACGAGTTCAGAGGGTCCTCAAGGGAGGGGTTCATGGGGGGTATTTGAGACCCTAAACCCTAAACCCTAAACCCTAAACCCTAAACCCTACACCCTAAACCCTAAACCCCAAACCCTACACCATAGGTACCTTGGGAACCGCAGGGGAGCTAAGGGAGTCTTAGGGAGCAGTGGGGAGTTTTTGTCTGTCAATTTGAATTTGGGTTCTACACCCGCCTTAAACCCAAAACCCCTAACCCAAAACCCCAAACTCTAAACCCTAAACCCTGTAACAGAGTCTGGTCATGGCAGGCGCCTGCGCCCTCTGCGGCTTAAGCACGGCTTGCTTCGGCGGCCTTGTGAGGGACATCCTGTGCCCGCTCCTCAGCGTGCCGGGCTCACACATTTGAATCAGTTGGAAACCCTGAGCCCCAAGACCTACGTAACTCTAAGCCCTAAACCCTAAACCCTAAACCCTAAACCCTAAACCCTAAACCCTAAACCCCAAACCCCAAGCCATCAACCCTCAACCCGAAACCCTACACCCAAAACCCAAAACCCTAAACCCTATACCTGTGGCACCACCCAAGGCCAGAAGCCACCCAGGATCCTCTACGCGGAGCACGAGATGCTGGCATACCAACAGTCGAACTTTAATTCGTTGTGTTTAGGGTTTAGGGTTTGGGGTTTGGGGTTTAGGGTTTAGGGTTTAGGGTTTAATCCGAGCATCTGTTTAATTGGGGGGGGGCCCCCCCCCCACCGCAATAAGAAAGGCCGGGTTCCGCAATAGTAAGACCGTGGCGCTGTCTTGATTCTCTATTAAAAACAATAGGCCGCAGATCCCTGAGGTGCTGTAGCTTCGCAGCTCAGCAAGCAAAACAAGAAGCCTGCCGACAGATTTTGGAACCTACCCGAAAACATTTTCTTTAAATGTGGTGGTATTGGCCCATACGAAATCCACCGAAATGGAAAGTAGTCTTCCGGCGGGCTTCTCGGCGAAAAAAAACTCTGTAAATGTGGGTGGTATTAATTAAACAGATGCTCGGATTAGGGCTTAGAGTAATAAAGTGTAACCCTTCTTTGTCCCTTTTGGTGATTGGAGAAGTGAGGATGTATGCCACCCCCGCCTTGCTCGGGGCCTTGGTCTGCGTCGGGCTCATGCGAAGTGGAGCCGCCACTTGGGGGCTGCCATTGTGGCTTTGGGTTTAGGGTTTAGGGTTTAGGGTTTAGGGTTTAGGGTTTAGGGTTTAGGGTTTAGCTAATTAGGGGCAATTGTCAGGGGGTTGACGAAAATACCCGTACTCAAAACCCCCACATCGTAGGATTCTCTTACAATAAGGACCCCAATACGGAACCCCTTCTTTCGGCAACCCCCACTGTGGGTAGAATGGGGAGAGTCAGGGTGGTTGTGGCAGATCCTTGCGGGGGAGAAGTGTTGCTGTTGCGCCTCTGCTGCAATGCATGAGTGTCTCACCAAGGAGACGCCTTTGGATGTCGAGGGCATGCTCTTGGGCGCATGGGTGGTCATTGCACTGCGAGTGCTCGCCCTGAACCACGGAGTTCGCTTGCCGGCTTTCCCGTCAGAAGTCGCTGCCAAAACCGTGCAGTGCTTGGGTGACTCGGATCTGGACTCTGCGCAGGGACTTCTCAGGTCATCATCCTGATGGACTCATTGCATTGGGGTCAGCTTGGCCGTGACATGACCGACAAGACTGTGGCCGGAAGCGGAGCCATGCTACGATGCCACCGTAGTCGTCCTGAAGTTTGTCCTTGGACCGGCTGACCCGCAGAGACCTTGCGACTAGGGTTTGGACGAGGCCTTCACGATGGCACGCTGATGCCCACCGTCGTCCCTTGCGAGGCACGCGAAGTGCCGTACCGCAACACTGCCGCAGCAACGTCAACAAACTGGTGCACTTGTGGCGGTCCTTGTCTTCTTCGACGCCGACCGACTTTCAATCACGTCTGCGGGCAAAAGTCCGAGCTTTGTCAGCGGCTGCATTCTTTGCCGGCCCAGTCTCGAGTAAAGCAATAACCAGTCCTAATGTAAAGGTGCTGACGAGTCCCTTCGAGGATGGTAGCATTTTGCACGTTGGTCTTCCTTTGCTGCTCGCATGACAGCTCTTCTGTGACTCTCGCTCATGGGGCATTCTGCCTGGAAACACATCCAGCTTATCCTCGCAATGAGCGGTGTTGAGGTTCAAGTCTTCTTTGCTCACTGGCACTGTTGCTTCGCGCAAATCATCGGACGTGTTCATCATCGACGCATCTTCGCAAAATCCTTGTCTGCATCAACTACGCACAGTTTTGGAACTGTAGAGCCACGTTCGTGCAGCTCTATTTCGTTGGCAATTTCTGCGCACGGCTCGTGCTTGCTCAACTCCTCTACTCGAGGCGCAGTGATTCCGTCTCACTGTGAGATCCATCTCAGAACAGGAGAAGCGCCGTGCAGAAGCAGAGTGCCAGTGTGCACGATTGACAGCATGGCCACTTCGCACGTCAGGCAAACTTGATGCTGCGCAAGCCGCGGTAGCCGCTCGAAGCTCACCTGCGTCTGATGACTCATCTGGGGGTTTTCGAAATTCGGGGTTGAGGGAACCCTACTATTTGGGCTCTATTCTAGGGTTCCATATCTTTTTGTAGCTGGCATGACCGCTCTGTTGTGACTATCGGCCCGAGCATTCCGTTTCATCACGCCTGCCCACTGCGGCGATGCAAGGAAACATTTGTGGCTCTTATGGCAATGCGACATTCAATGCTGAAATGGTGCTCAAGTTCAGAAGACTTGTTTGTACTCATATCGTCGTCTCTTCTGTAGATTTTACTATCATGTGTGATGGGCAAAGCAATGGCGCGAGCGCAATGAGGACTGCAAGATTCAGTTTGCCCTCCGCAACCTGCTTTTCACAACCATGCTGTTCACAACCATGCGCTTCTAGACCCGAATCTCTAGGCCCTAAACCCAAAAGCCTAAAACCCGAAACCTAAAAACCCAAAACCCAGAACCCAAAATCCTAAACCCAAATTTGACAGCACTCTTGGGCCAGGAGCGGGTCTGTTGGGTTAGCCAAAGACGGCTTTGCTGAACGAGCCTCTGTGTGGATCTGAGCCTCATGCTCCTCAACCCCTACATCCTGAACTGGAGAAACTCTTAAGCCCTGACGTAGATCCCCCCCCCCTCGCGCCTGGTCCCTTCATAAAGTAATAATCACCTTCACAGCATCTGCGCCAGAATCCAGAAAAAACCCGAAACCCTAAACCCCAAACCCTAAACCCTAAACCCTAAACCCTAAACCCTAAACCCTAAACCCTAAACCCTAAACCCTAAACCCTAAACTTCGAGTGGTTGGAGTAGTTCTGGCTTGGCTGGGTGTCCTAGGTGCCGCGAAGCATGCCAGCAAGCCCACCTGCGCGCTCTCTGGCCCTTTTGCGGCAATTTTACAGGGCTTTGGAATGGGGTTTAGGGTTTAGGGTTTAGGGTTTAGGGTTTAGGGTTTAGGGTTCAGGGTTTAGGGTTTAGGGTTTAGGGTTTAGGGTTTAGGGCAAGAGTGCCAAGCTGGCTCTGCTCGCGTTCTTGCTGTGGAGAGGGGGGGGGGTCTTGCAGGCCAGCGAGCTGCGCCAGCTCTCTACGGCACTGCAGGAGCCGGAAGTCCTTCCTCAGCTGATATGGGGGGGGTTTAGGAAACTAGGGGAGCCTGAGTATAGACAATAAGGACCCCAATAAGGTACCCCCTAATTTCAGAAACCCCCCATATGTGTGTATGTGTGTATGCGTGTATGTGTGTATGTGTGTATGTGTATGTGTGTCTGTCTCTGTCTCTGTGTGTGTGTGTGTGTGTGTGTGTGTGTCTGTCTCTGTGTGTGTGTGTGTGTGTGTGTGTGTGTGTCGGTCGGTCGGGGGCCGGAGGAGCGAACAATAAAGGTTGTGAGGAGTCAGAAGCAGCCACTGATATTTGTCCTTGCCCACGAGCCTGGAGGGCTCATCTGGAGGGGTGTTCTAGGGTTTAGGGTTTAGGGTTTAGGGTTTAGGGTTTAGGGTTTAGGGTTTAGGGTTTAGGGTTTAGGGTAAATGTGAATCCCTGTCAGATGCTGTTTTTGTCATGGGATTCTTTGCAAGACGGTTCCGAAAAGAAGCCTTTGGGAGCAGGCCGTACATCCTAACTAAAACCTAAACCCTGAACCTGGAACCCTAAACCCTAAACCCTAAACCCCAAACCCTAAACCCTAAACCCTAAACCCTGAACCCTGAACCCTGAACCCCGGAACCATAGTTGCCAGAGTGCCTCGAGCTCTGCTGGCCAGGAGTCTCCGGATGCGGACTTCAGCTCCACGTCGCTTGCTTCCTGCAGCGGTACCGGCGCGCTTGCTGTGTGCGGCGAGCTAGCCCCCTAAACCCTAAACCCTAAACCCTAAACCCTAAACCCTAAACCCTAAACCCTGAACCCTGAACCTTGAACCCTAAACCCTAAAGCCCAAGTGCCATGAGCTCCGAGCGCTAGCCTTGCACTCGGACTTCTGAAGCTCTCACCCTCTTTGCTTTTCAAACTTCAACCCCAAGATCAGCCCTCAGCCCTGAACCCTGCTTGTCACACCCTTGCAACCCTTCTGTTTAAGCGGCTACCTGACAAACACCCAAAACTCTGCACCCCTAAACCCTGAACCTTAAACCCCTAAACCCTAAACCCTAAACCCTAAACCCTAAACCCTAAACCCTAAACCCTAAACCCCTAAACCCCTAAACCCCTAAACCCCTAAACCCCTAAGCCCCTAAACCCTATAAGAAAACCCCTAAACCCTAAACTTCGCCGAAACCCTAGACCCCTATTTCGCATCCTGAATTCTCAGCAGGCAACATCAGCCACATACAAAAACGGAGCGGGGAGGATGCTGCGGCGAAAGCCCTTGGTTCCCAAACCCTGAAGCCCGATGTGGTGGGGTTAGGGTTAGGGCTTCGGGCTTAGGGTTAGGGTTTAGGGCCTCACTAGGGCTAATAGGTTTTAGGGTCTAGGGTTAAGAGTTGGGGTTTAGGGTTAGGGTGTCAGGTTTTCTCGGTTGGTGTTGGGGTTTGAGGGTGTAGGTTGCGGTCCAGGGTCGTTGCGGCCGGGGGGGGGGGGGGGGTTTTTGGGTTCCAAGAAATCCCTCGCAACCTCCCTTACGATTCCTCTCTTCTACTTATTTGGGTTTCCGAAATTAGGGGTAGCTTCTTGGGGTCCATAGTACAAGGGGATCCTACCATTTGGGGATCTATATTGGGGCTCCCCTAAATTGCCTCATGAAGCTCTGGCAGCTTTGGCCAGGCCTTTCGGTCCTAAGAAAGGGTACTTGGAGGTTCAGCGTACTTAGTAACCCAATTATATGTAGTTATGGCCGCATATAAGCCCCTTAAGTACCCCAACAGGGCTATAAGTGGTTAGAAGTGCAGTTGTATTTTGGGTTGCTAAGTACCATGAACCTCCAAGTATAGGGCCATCCGGAGCTGAACAGTCGAGGCAGTCATCAAGCAGCCGACGACGCAATGTTGCTTTGGGAGGCAGGACTTGATTCGACGTGTTGCGTTGCTGGGTGTTGGGGTGGGGGCCCTGCAGAAGTAACTTTATTGTAGGTAGCTTTTGCTCAGTACACATTATACACATTCTGTCGAAAGTTGCATGACCTTAAATTTGAGTAACGTTGTAGTCTCCTGCTTGTATTCCAGGTCTAATTGTTGGACCACACAAGCTGTCTGTCGGCCGCTGATAGGCCCAGCTTTGCGAGACCTTTGGAGCTCCATTGCCCAGCTGAAGGCCTTCGCGGTGGTTCGGAGAGAATGTTTAGGAGACATCGAGCCATGTCTTGTACCCTGCAAATGACGTCCGCACGCCCGCAGCTCGAATAAACCCCCACAAGCACACAAGGCCCAGGAGCTTAGGGCAGAGCCTTAGGCCGCGAAACCGCGAAGCCCTGCAAGCGTCAGGGTCAGTCCGACAGCAGCCGGCGACGCCTGGCGCAAGTGGAGCAGCGTTTAGAAGCACAGCTCCAGGCCTCTTCCATGCAAGCAGGGTTGAGGGTAAACCCTTGGGGTAGGAAATCTCACAGACCGCAGTGGGAACGCCCAACCCTAAACCCTGCGGCGCTGGGCTTCCCTAAGCCCTAAGCCCTAAACCCTAAACCCTAAACCCTAGCCCTAAACCCTAAGCCGTCAACCCTCCAAGAATTTGAGTGTGCGTCTTTGCCGACTCAGGCCGCCTGCTGCAAACCCTAAACCCTAGGATCCCCTGAAGCCGAAGACCCCTCGTCACTCCTTCAGCTGCGCTTCACGGTTTGTTAAGCTGGGGGGGGTGTTGGGTTCAGGGTTCAGGGTTCGGGTTTAGGGTTTAGGGTTTAGGGTTCAGGGTTTAGGGTTTAGGGTTTAGGGTTTGGTTGATGTTTTTCGAAGTGTTTCGGATGCCCGGAAGCTCCGCATCCTCCCAGATGCCCTTTTGGGCTTGCTACTCGTACCATAAGGACTATGGTGCTTAGTAGTGTCGGGGGCGCATATTTGGGGTTCTTCCTTTTTTGGGGTTCCTCTCATCAGGATTGTAGTGTTGTGGGCGCATCTTTGGGGAACCCTAACTAGCGAAGTATGGGGCCCTTAATTTGGGCCCCTTGTTCAATAACCCTTATATACACTATAACAATAAACATA